GTAGTATTGCGTGACAACCATTTTCAGATTACTCCATCATAGCTTCCACACTACACCTAAAAGGACAAGATGGGTTAAGGGTTCTACGTTTCTCAGTTTCAGCAGGCTCCCAAGTTAAAAGCAGCATGTCTTCTCGATTACTCGATAAACGACACTACAGTCAAAGGGGCCTCCACTGAGTGGGGGATCTCATGCCTCCTTTTTTGGGATTACTCCCTCAAAGTTAACATGACTATACCGCCCGTCCTATCTTAAGTTTGCCCAAGTCTGGGTATAGGACTTATGAGAAATCACCAAGCACCCTGAAAACCAGGAAAATCCAGACAAACATATATACAACATATAACATATAAATAACAATATCACATACACAAATAAACAAAGATAGGCTCAACCCACTTAGGGATGAACCAGCAATAGGTAGATCTCTCCCCAGCAGAGTCACCATTTTTTCTGTAGCGGTAGAAATGTTGAGACTAAGCCATTGGATTGACTTGACTCGCACAGATCAAAAATAAAAATCACCATCATGCTTTATTGTTTCCAAAGGAATGAGAAAAGAGCGAATAACCCAAAAGAGGGGGACAAAATCTCGGTAAGGGGATTGGTTATGCAAAGGGAATGTATCAGCACTCTAAACATCTATGGTACTCTGCAAGAACCTCTTTGAAAATCTGTGTATTTTGGCTATAAATGTTGTGTTCAAAAATAGATGGTGGGGATGAGAAAAGAAGTATTTTTTACAATTTTTACATTCGTCGCGGTTGTGAACCTTTAGTGCCTACGTATCACCTTCTATGCAATAGGGGATCAGGGTATACGTAGTTCTCCTTTAAAAATTTAAAACACAAGTGTGTTGGTTAATTTTTAAAATATGAGACATCATCGTCGTATCCGAGTGAAAAATATACCTACTATCCACGATCATGAGAAAGAAGAATTTGCATCATCTCAAAGTGGAGGATATGGCTTGGATTTTAAAATCAACAAAGCCTCACTAAACACCCAAGTGGAAAATATCTCACTTCACTATATATCATAGAAGTATAGTAGCTTGCATCACTACAAGGATTGACAAGAGTCTAATCTTTTGAGAAAATTTTAAGGATAAAAGCCAAATGGAAAAAATGGTTTGAATGATATTGATTGACTTTTAGTCTTCTATCAAAAAAAAGCTCAAAGTATGATTAAGTTTATTAAAATTTGATTAAGAAAATATTTTTGAAAATGCATGGACCTAAGTCCAAGTTTATTGTGAAAGCGGTTCAAGTTTTAGAAAACAAGAAGAGTTTTCAAAAGGAGGGAGACGATTTTTGAAATTAAAGAAGATGGGAGGAGATGAAGGGACTATCCTAAAGCATAAAGTAAAAGCTAGGGAAATAACCATCTAACCAACAAGAAGCCGATACTTGACACAATGAGTCAATGTAGAATTCTCATCCTTTAGATTGAAACCAACAAGTAGTGATAATAAACCTCTTAAGAAAACCAAGCTTCAAATACATTAGGTCTTTCACAAAAATTGGGCAGAGTAACAGTTGTATATATATATATATATATATATATATATATATATATATATATATATATATATATATATATATATATATATATATATATATATATATATATATATATATATATATATATATATATATATATATATATATATATATATATATATATATATATATATATATATATATATATATATATATATATATATATATATATATATATATATATATATATATATATATATATATATATATATATATATATATGAATTCCCGATCATAGACAAAGCATGCAATCAAAACAAGCTGCACACAAAGCAAACAAACAACCCAATGTCTTGGGGTAAACCCCAAGAACTCCAGACAAAATAGCAATGAAATTCACAAGGTCTCAAGGTAGGCCAAGGTCTCTAATCCTAAGTCCAAGAAGTCTATCACTCCATAATGCCAAGGACAGTAACCAAATAGTCCAAGTAACATTAAAGTTTTTTATGGTTCAATTTGATTATTAGGTATTTTCAAAAAGAAATGAGAAGCTCAAGTGAGCAAACTAAAAATGACATAAAAGTAAATGCTCAAGTGAGCAAAGATGAAAATAGCATGAAATGTAAATGCTAAAATAAAATGGTGCATAAAGTAAAGGCATAAAATAAAAGCATAAAATAAAGGGCATAAAGTAAAAGTCAAATGTTAATGAATTAGTAATTAGAGGTTATTTAAATGACCGTCTTGAAACTTCCATTTGAAAACTCATTAAAAGATTGATAAAGTCAAAGCCTCTCAACAATAAGTTTCATTTGTTTTTTGTCAAGTATATCATTCATTTTCAAAATCTCAAAGCAACAATAAATGATCAATGATGTTTAAGTGATTCACTTTGACCAAAGCTTATAAAGATTCATTAGAGGATTGATAAGACAAAATCCTCCTAACAATGAATCTCAAGATTATTGGATCAAAGGTTTCAAATTAACATATTTGGGCTTGCAAACATAGGTTTGGGCCACGGATGATCATTTCTCAAATTGGGACAAAATTTAGGGCTATGTTAAGCAATCGTAAGTGAACTTATATAGAAGTCGCACCTATTTTGAGACCGGTCAATAGCAATTTATGTGCTACATGTTTGGAGAGATGATATGTAGATCACCCTCTAACAATATGTAGCACAATGAGAAAGGGGTAAGATGAAGAGGGAAGTGATATATTTGAAATAAAAATGTAATCGAACTATCATTAAAATCATTCATCCATTTTGGTGGAGTTAAACTCAACACCCAAGATCCAATGATGTTAATGAAATCTATGATCAAAAGTCACAACGTCATAATATATACAACAATAAAATTGTATTTAATGAATAAAAGAAAAAAAGAAAATGATTTTTAAAATGTTTTTTGAAATGAAAATAAAAGGGAAACTAGCAAACTATATTCAAAATGTTAAAGAAAAATCAGAAGAGGCCATAGAAAAATTAGAAATTATCTCAAATATTTTTATAATTTTTTTGGTAATTTTTCAAATCAGAAAAGTATTTTTAAACTAATTAAAATTATTCAATTAAGTGAAAAAAAAAATCAAAAATAATAAAGTCAAAAATAAAATTCTAGAAAGTTTTCAGAAGGTCAAATAAGAAAGATGATTTTGATGAATTTTTTTAGAATTTAAAAATATCAAAAAGTATTTTTAAACAATTAAAAACAAACCAAAACAAAATAAAAATTATAAAAAAATATCAAATCTGAAAATAAAATTATGAAAAAATAAAAATCAGAAAGAGAAAATTTAAAGAAAAAAATTGTCACTTTTTTCATAATTTGAGTCAAAAATGAATTTTCTATGATTTTTTGAAGTTTAAAACATTTAAAATAAAAATAAAAAATAAAGTCAAAAAAATATAGACCATTAGATGAGAGTCAAAACGCGTTAGTAAGCTAATCCAATGGATCAGACGCGTTGTGCATATCATGGTCTTTAATGAATAAAACATGTGATCCGCTATTAAATCAGATTTGAAAAAAATGCGTGGCAAATTCTCATTGGTTGAAGATGGACATGTAGGTCATCTTCAACCTCTGTCCGCGTGATTTGCAGGTTCATGAAATGGAAAAATTAGACCTCGAGATTGTACCATTCGCTTCGTCTCTTCAAGACGATTCCAATGGTACCCTCGCAAAAAATTTATGTAAGGTGTAGCTCAGTCGTTTCATAAGGAAATGTTTGAAAAGGGATTTGAAAATTCATGGCCAAAACTCACTTCCAGTTGAAAACAAATGTTGCGACTTAAATCATAATGATGAGAGCTTCATTACAAGTATCAAAGTTTGGGAGAATTAATGAAGGAATCTATCTATTGAAGTTCAAATTAAGAGCTCTGAAACTTGACTTGGCTAGCACGATTTAGAAAGTCTTAGAGCTTGGTTCTTCTTCTGTTAGCTTCAGTGAAGTTCAAGGATGAAGAATTGACAAAGAAAATGGATTGAGGAAAGCTGTAAAACCAAATTCGAAGTTGCAGAAAAGTGGGTTGAAGATAGAGTTTGGTAGGGTGATTCTGAATATCTAAGCTTGAGAAAATGAATGAGGTATGACCCTCTATTTATAGGAAGGCTAATGGAATGCTTAAGCGTGTGAAATGATGAATTTTGGAGGGAAATCGTGTGGAGTTGCAAACATGAAAAGTGTGACTTCTATTTTGCTCAAAACTCAACTAAAACTTGCGTTTCAAGGTGCTAATCACTTCTGGAAGATTGCTAAACATGATTAGAAGTAAAAACACGCAGAAATTTTGTGTTTAGAGGCCAAATCATGAATTTCAAATTCCGATTTTGGAGGAAACTTCGGTCTCAAGGTACCATCTTTGAATCAATGGTGTGCACGATTTAAGGAACCTTAGGACTTAATTATTGATGCCTTGGAAAGATGAGATTACAAACTTTACAATAAAAAAATTCAATACTAAAAATACACTTCAATGTCCGCAAATCTAGGTTAGACGTCATCACTAATAGTAATTTGAACTCTAACACAACGGTTGTGTGTGTGAGTTTCTATTGGTTATTACCACTTCGTCTACGGACCCAAAAAATAAAATACACTTTCGGTAATATTATTTTAACATATTTAAACATATATCATTACTATTAGTATCAAACTATGATCATAAACAAGATAAACAGCAAGCATCATCTTAGGCTAAATCAACCAACTCTATGCTTAGATTTTTCACCTAACTGAAATATGAAAATGTAGCTACTCCTTACCCAATAGCCATCCTCATTTGTCATGGCTAGAGTTGTCAAGTACAGAAACATACAGAACAGTACCAGCTCAAATTCAGCCCTAAACTGAACATAATCTGTCAACAATACACAATAAGCAAACAGTTCCTACTCCATGTAGTAATCATATACACATGCACATTGGCTAGTACAGACAAAATCTGAAACAAGGTACTTCAAATTCTACTAAAAAGAAAACAAGTTCTTAGCTAGATGCAAGCAGCGGCACCGGCGAAACCGAATCTGTGAATTTATCAACCATCTCCACATCATCTGTGTCTGTCCACCCTAGTAACGGAATCATTGCATCAGCATTTATCTTTTCTTTGTCCGAACTCAAGCACGAATTCACAGTTATGCTATCAGTAATTGATAAGGCAGGCTCTGCACTATAGTCACAGCAACTTTTGGAGCTCACACACTCTTGCAAATAATCTACATGTTCTTCTGATAATTCATTGGTATCCACATTCTCCTCCAACTGTTTTAAGAAGCATTCTTCTATCGCACTCAGAGATTGAGCTTCCAATACCTCTTCGCTGCTATTTCTGTAATGAGTGTGATCATTGAAATCTGATTTGGTTCCTTTCAATTCACCGCTTGCGTTTATTTCTAGCTGGCTGTCATATTCATCCTCAGATGGAGGATACGATGAGCGAAGGGACATGGGTGAATATCCACACGTTGCTGTTTCTCGCTGACTGTCATATTCATCCTCGGACTGGCGAAATGATGTACGAAAAGACATGGGTGAATATCCTCCTGTTGCTGTTTCTTCACGCTCCCTAAGGGTCTTCATTATCAACGTCTTGAGCAAGTTCATCACTTGAACCGCGTGCATTAGCGCAGTTAGAGGATCAGACATCTGTTCCACGAGACAAATAACAACATGAATGGAAAGCGCAGCAGTGAACAGACAATTTCTTAGTGTGCAAAGTTCTTATAAACAAAGGTTTTGCATTCTTTTACCTGAGTCATGTTTGGAGCGAAAACCATTGCAATGTTTCTTGCATTCATTTTGTTATGTTCCTCTTCTTGGACAACATCAGCCATAAGATCAATAGCCCAGCTGAGTAAGGCACACTCGGTTGGTTTAAGCTGCTTCACAAGCTCAAAAGATTCTTCTTCTGTGTTGCATTGAAGAACTTGTTCAGGGGAAAGACCATCTAGCACTCCGGAAGGAAGCTCTCGGAACCACGCTTTGATCAGTCCCGCCAAACAGTGGACATCAATGTCATCAGGCACAATACCACTATTCAATTGGTTCCTCACATGCTCCTCTTTACTATTTTCTGGGTTTATGCGAAATATACCTTCAGCCTGAAATTACATTGAAATGAGAAAAACAGATTAGCCTGAAATGATGGCTCACAGGACCTTAACAATATTAAAATATGAACATCCACTCTCAGTACCTTCAATCCTCCCTGTGAATATAAACGGTCTTGCATTAACATGAGAATAGTGGGGACACTGTTTCCTTTTGAATCATAAGAACACTGCATAGATTCAGCTGAGACTCCAAACACACTTACACTGCAAGCATAGATGAGTGTGAATTGCAAGTCAGAACAATTTCAACAAACACAGGTACAGACAGACAAAAAATTCTAATATGCAACACCAAAACTCAGATTTAAAAAATGGTGGATTTTAACTTTCAAAACTCAAGATATCATAGCAACAAATATCAAATAAAAAATGTAAATAAGATAGAACAGTTCATGTATCAACAAAATTTGTAAAAGGAGTTTTGGCGTGCTGTGTACCAAACCACAAACAATATGAAGTATCCCCATTTTGCAATTATATATCTAGGACATGACTGGATCCGCTTATTTGAGTTTATGTAGTGACATAAGCACTTGTGTAACTGTTTGGAAGAGCTTTGAAAACTACTTGCGACATATCCCTATGTTGTTTTCACAAGCTCGACAAAATAGCTTTCCAAAATAGTTTATCCTTTGTTATAGAAATAACCTATACTCAAATACTTATATGACAAACACTTATGCTATAGGGGCTTAATTCAGCTGTTTATCCAAACAAGTCCCTGTTGGGGAAATCGGGGAATGTGATTCCCACATCCGATAACAAGATCCAACCCAGGATCCAACTCCCGCTCCCCCAACCCGAACTAGGCTCTGATTACCACTTGTTGAGGAGACCAGGGAATGCGAGAGCTACAACGGGATCAAGGACCATAAGAGACATTGACACTACATATTAACTCAAAACCTTAAGGCAGTGGATGTATGGGTATTTTCTTTTATATATCTAAATTTCTCTCTTCTTATAGTCAATGTGAAACAGAACCAATCACACTTGAATTCAAACAGTCCCTTAGTCTACAAGATCAAGATCAGAAGGGATTTCATTTCACTTCCTGGATAGGGCTTATTGAGCTGTTCATCCAAAGGAACTTCATCTCATCCAAACAGAACCTTTATTATATCATTTTCTGGACTAATCACAAACCTGCTTTATTTATTTAATTATATTTGGCTTCAGTGTACACATGAAAGATGAAAATCTTGCACACTATCTCCTCTCTTTCTCTTCAACAAACTCACAAATAGAAACACACCCATTACACCAAAAGATCTTCCCACAAAAAAAAAAATCAAATTTTGTTTACACCCATTTGAAATCTAACAAAACCAACTAAGTTCCCACAAAAAAATTAAAGAAAAAGTAAAAGTAGAATATACCTAGCACTGGGAACACGCCCCGGGATCTCAACTTCAAACTCAACAGGAAGCCCAAGAAACCCATTAAAGCGATCAAACGTAACATGAGTAACATGCTGAACATCCGTCGGCCATCCGATCTCCATCTGACCAACACTCGAAATCACCTCATCAGGCCTCTCCACTCTGCATGCCACCATAGATTTCCTAATCGCAGCCAACAATAACGCCACAAGCGAAAGCTGATTCCGCTCTTCTTCTTCTTCCTCCACCCCTGCTTCTCTTGTTCTCTTACTTCCCCCGCCGCAACCACCGCCTCTGGTAACCATGACAAGTCCCGTCATAACTACTTTCTCTCTCTTGTTGGTGGAGAAGATGAAAGGACAGTGTGGTTTAAATTTTGAGGTGGAAAAGAAAGTGTGTTAGTTAATGTGTTTCGTTGGTTGCATTCAATTTTCTACTCAGAAAACAATGAAGCTTTTCTATCATAACATAGATTTTAAATTCAAGTTCTAAATTCAAACGGACACTACTTTCAAATTCTTTCTATCGTTTCTATAATTGGCTTTTCTTGTTTTTGACCTCTGTTTTTACCTGAATTACCATACTGCCACTCTACTTTTTTTAAGTAAAATATCATATCTTAATTTGTCTTTATGTTTGGTTTCTGAGGTTGGCTTGCTGATTTAGGTGTATCTAATTTTTGTGTTTAGAGATAACTAATAAATTATTTTTAGTATCATAAAGTATATTATTAATGATTGCTTCCTACATCGCTATCTTCACTTACTACTATCATTTGATCCATTATATGCATTGAAAGAAGGTTGGTTTCGCAAATCCACTATCATTACTTTTCTAGTGACTGTTATTTATTTTTTCGTAGTAATGGAGAAATATACAGACATGCATGCAATCTTCAATATATTCACATATCCACTTGACTTAGAATTGGTTATAGGAGAAGGGTTAGAAACACTTTTTTTTTTTGTATAAAAAGCATTTAAGTATGTATCTGAGATATTGAGTTATGATGTTGAGATATTGAGTTATGATGTAGACTTTGTTTCTGACATTATGATCCTTGACTCCTTTTCTAAGTAAGAATGTGTATTTAGAGAGACAATGAGATGTCAAAGTAAGTTAGGTGTGATGATACACGTGTAATTTAAAATTCTCACATATTGTAAAAATAGAGGTTGAACACTTTATAAATAAAATGACTCATATACTTAATGTCTTAAGGGTTTAGATGAATATATAGAGTCTCTCACTTGTGCGGTTTTTCTTGACTAAATTAATATGGATGCTCCCCTCATAATCCAGTAGTGATATCATAGTCGATGGTTCAACTAAGGAATTGAATTATTGTAGTTAAAGTCTTCCTAACAATGTGATTGTTAGGTGGCATGTCTTGTTGAAGTGTTTGTGACATGGTAAGAGTGTCAATAATGGTGCACGTGTATGTGGATGAAAGAAGTTATGCTAGAGAGAAAACATATAATTAGATGAACTAATACTTAATGGGGAGATTATTGTGATACATGTGTGAGTTAGAAGTTCCACATTGTCTGAAAAATTAGGATTAGACCATTTATAAGTGAAATGACTCGGATACCTAATGTCTTAAAATTGAGCATTTTATAAATGAAATTACTCATATACCTAATGTTGTAAGGTTCTAGGTGAATATATATTTCTCTCACTTGTGTGGTTGTTTTAACCTAATGCATATGCTCCCCTTTTGACCCATCAGTAGGTCTATTCGGGTTATAATAAAGTATGAAGTTAGTGATCATACTTGAGAGTTGAACCCTCAATTTATAAGGTTTCCCAAGTGTAGTATGTTTTACTTGTCCCATATGATCGTTTAAGATATTAGTTTTGCACACATATATATTTGATGATCACGATAAGCGAATGTGCGTCTCTAAATCAAATGAATCCTACATATATGGAACGATGCTAGTCTATTTGACCTTCTAGAATCCTTATCCTTTATGAAGGAAAACGTGAATTGTTAAGAATTTGAATATTATATATTTAGACAATGAATATATGAGCATTAATCTCAATATAGAGTATTTTAACCTAAGGAGCCTTTACTAAAGATCTAAATATTTATTACTACTACTAATAATACTAAAAATAATAATAGTAAAATAAATAATTTATAACACTCCTCCTCAAGCTGGTGAATGTATATTGATCATTCCCAACTTGACAACGATTCTTTCAAACTTATTATTGTTCACCCTTTTCATTAGAAGATCTGCAAGATTATCTTTGGAGGATACATATGGGTTATGCTAATAGTAGACTTATTATCACAAGGTCTCATTGGTTTATCTAAATTTTTATCCTCAAATCTTATAAAAAGATCAATTTAAGCCATAGTAATTTGCATATCCCTTATGCTATTTCCCTGAATTATGTTTCATCACTAGATATTGATATTACACTTTATTTTTACACTTCCATGTTACAAGATTTCTGTAATTTTGGATCTTTAAAATAGATGCAAGACTGATGTCCCAACACCAAAGCACAATGTCAAGACATGTGTTAAGAAATCATCTGCTGACAAAACAATTTTATCAAACAGTAAATTATGCATAATTAAAGTACAAAATATAAAATAACACAATCAATTATTAACCCAGTTCAATGCAACATCACCTACTCCGGGGGAAACCAAGTCGGGAAGAAAATCTACTATGATAGTATTAGTTCAAAACTAAACAACTCTAGTTTATAACGTATCACCTAATCACTACATTGAGTTATTTCTACCTAGAAACCTTCTAGATATGAGATTCCCCTCTCACTTCCAACGGTCACCTCAGTGACAATAACAAAAATAGAAGAACACACTTCCAATTACAATACTGAGTTTTGCTTAAAAGATTTTAACTGAGAATAATAACTTGACACACAATTAACTCTTTACTTAAAATCTCATGAGTGATGGGTAAGTAACAATGAACAATTAGTCTACCTCAATATATCAAAAGATACATGGATGACACACAAAAACAAACAAAGCACCTAAAGTATTCTCAAAATCCTAAACCCTTGTATTATGCACCCACTTTTTTTTATGTGAATTCTTGCTTATTTTAGGTTTAGCAAGTCCTTATATATAGACTCTTGCAAAATGGGCTTGAAATCTTCAAACAAATCAAATCTTCTAATTTTAAATCAGCTGCAAGATTTTCTAAAAAAATAGGAACCAATCTTTAAAGTTTTCTAAAAAGTCTCAAAGATCCTTTTTTATAAAACCAAATCAAATTTGTAATGTTCCTAAAATACCATTGTTTAGCTGCATTTGTATGAGAACTAAAATCATCCAGAATCTCATATTTTACAATCAAATCTTCAAGGATTTAAACAGTTCTACTGTTATGGTATTCTGGTATCACATGTCACAACATCTGTCAAAAATAATAACAGTAGACTCTGTTGTACCAAGTTGGTCAAGATGTCATGACATTTTGCTCAACATTTGGTTGTGATACATGTTTTCCAAATGAAACATGTTTTACCAAAAAAATTGTCAATCATAAAATCACAGACCTGGCAATTTCCACCTAGGAAAATGCAATAACTTATAGTTGGTCTCCTATTTATAACTGACCATGCATAGTCGGCATTAGTATAGGCTTCAAGAACCACACTCCCATTTCTTTCAAACAAAATCCCTCTACCAGGTGTTCCTTTCAAATATTGTACAATTCTGAGCGTAACTTGCAAGTAAATTTATGTTGGTCAATGAATGAATTGGATGATTAAGCTAATAGGAAAAGCGACATCAGTTCTAGTATGTGATATATATATATATATATATATATATATATATATATATATATATATATATATATATATATATATATATATATATATATATATATATATATATATATATATATATATATATATATATATATATATATATATATATATATATATATATATATATATATATATATATATATATATAAGTCTTATGACTTATCTCTGATACATTTCTTTATTAATCGCAATATCTTCTTATGTGTTTCCCAGCTTTACACTTGGATCAGTTGGTGTATTTGTCATTTTCATTCAGTTTGTTCCTAAACACCCATCTAGTATCAATGATGATTCTATATTTAGGACGTGGAACGAGGTCCCAAACTTCATTTCGTTTAAATTTAATGAGATCTTCTTGCATAGAAAGAAGTCATCCCTCGTCAAGTAAAGAATCACATATATTTTTAGGTTCAATTTAAGAGATGAAAGCAAAATACTTACAAAAATTTTTAAACTAAGATTTTGTGCTTACACCTTTATTGATATCACCAAGTATCTGATCCAACGGACGATCCTTTACAACAATCCAATCTGGAGGTAGCTGAGTTAAGGCCTCTTGTTTATCTTCTTCTTGTTTGCTTTCCTCTTTATCTTCAATAATGCCTTCTTCCATTAGTGGAGGAAGATCCTCTTTGTGAATGTGTTTGTTGATCAAGTTCTCCGTTATCACACCTGAAGCATCAGAAGAACTGCCTTTTTCCATCTTTTGGGGTGAGGACTCATAAAAAGCAACATGAACTGAATCTTATACATATGACGTTCTATGACTGTAAAATATATATACTTTACTTGAATAAGAGTACCCTATAATTATACATTCATCATACTTTGCATCAAATTTATCAAGATTATCTTTTCTGTTATTTAAAATAAAACATTTGCAGCCGAAATCGCGAAAATAGGAAATATTATGTTTTTTTGCCTTTAACTCATAGGGTGTCTTCTCTAGGATGGTTCTAATGAATACCTTATTCAATACATGCATGTGGTATTGATCGCATCCTCCCAAAAGTACTTAGGCAAACTCATCTTGCTTATCATTGTCCAAGCCAATTCTTCTAAAACACGATTTTTGTGCTCAACAACACAATTTTGTATGGAGTTCTTAGACATGATAAGTTATGAGTAATCCTATTTTTGTTACAAATTTTTTCAAAATGATGGTTTAGAAACTTACAATTATGATCACAACGGAGTGTGATAAATTTTAAATTGTAAATATTTTGGACAAGCTTAGCAACCATAATAAAAGCCTTACATATTTCTTTTATATGGGATAAGAAAAACGTCCAAGTAAATCTAGAATAGTCGTCCACAATTACAAAATCGTAATAGTTACCGCCTAAATATCTTGTCCTCAAAGGGCCAAACAAGTGTAGATAGAGAAGCTCGAGAGGCTTTGAAGTTGAAATAATCTTTTTCGATTTAAAAGAGATTCTCATTTTCTTTTCCATTTGGAAAGCATCATAAAATTTATCTTTAGAAAACTTTA